AAAAAAAGCATTTGATAAAATTCATCATTCATGATAAAAACTCCCAACAAATTAGGCATGAGGAATATACCTCAGCATAATAAAGACCATATATGACAAACCCACTACTGACATCACACTGAATGAGGAAAAGCTGAAAGTCATTCCTCAAAGAACTGGTACAAGACAAGGATGCCTATTTTCACCACTGTGGTTAAACATAGTACTGGAAGTCCTTGTCAGAGAAATCAGGCAAGAAGAAATTAAAGGCATCCAAATTAGAAAAGAAGAAGTTAAATTGTCCCTTGTAGCAGATGACATGTTTGTATATATAGAAAAACCTAAAGACTCCATCAAAAAAAAAAAAAAAAACCTTAGAACTGATAAACAAATTCAGTAAAATTGCAGCATACAAAAGCAATGTACAAAAATGGGTAGCATTTCTATACACCAGTAATTAACTAGCTGAAAAGGGAATCAAGAGAGCAATCCCATTTGCAATAGGCAAAATAAATAAATAAATAAAATACCTAGGAAAAAATTTAACCAAGGATATGAAAATCCTCTACAGAGAAAACTATAGGACACTTACGAAAGAAATTGAAGAGGACACAATCAAATGGAAAGACATTCCATGCTCATGAACCAGAAGAATCACAATTGTCAAAATGGCCATACTACCCAAAGCAAACTACAGATTCAATGCAATCCCTATCAAAATACCAATTACATTCTTCACAAAAAAGGAAAAGAAATCCTCAAATGTGTATGGAACCACAAAAGAGCCCAAATAACCAGAGCAATTCTGAAATCCAAAGAACAAAGCTGGAGGCATCACACTACCTCACTTCAAAATATACTACTAAGCTATACTAACCAAAACAGCATGGTATTGGTATCAAAACAAATACGTTTACCAGTGGAATGGAATAGAGAATCCAGAAATGAATCTATGTATTTATAGCCAACTGATTTTAGACAAAGGTGCCAAGAATATATGTTGGGAGAAGGACACCCTCTTCAATAAATAGTGCTGGGAAAACAGGATATCCATATGCAGAAGAATGAAAATAGGCGCCTATCTCTGACCATATACAAAAATCAACGCAAAGTGAATTAAACGCATAAATGTAAGACCTGAAACTATAAAACTACTAAAAGAAAACATAAGGAAAATACTTCAGGACCTTGGTCTAGGAAAAGATTTTATGACCAGGACTTTAAAACACAGGCAACAAAAACAAAAATAGACAAATGGTACTATATTAAACTAAAAAAGCCTCTGCACAGAAGAAACAATCAGCAGAGTGAAGAGAAAACCTGCAGAATGGGAGAAAATATTTGCAAACTATTCATCTAGCAAAGGACTAATGTCCAGAATATACAAGGAACTCAACTCAATGCCTGTAATCCTAGCACTTTGGAAGGGTGAGGAGGGAGGATTGCTTGAAGCCAGGAGTTTGAGACTGGCCTGAGCAACATAGTAAGACCCTGTCTCTACAAAAAATAAAAATATTAGCTGAGTGTGGTGGTGTGTGCATGTAGTTCTAGCTACTCAGGGGGCTGAGCCAGGAGGATTTCTTGAACCCAGGAGTTTGAGGTTGCAATGAGCTATGATCACACCACTGCACTCTAGCCTGGGTGACAGAGTGAGACCGTCTCAAAAAAAGGGAAAATAAGGGAAAAAAAAGTGGACTAAAGACATGAATAGACGTTTCTCAAAAGAAGACATACAAATGGCCAACAGATGTATGAAAATGCTCAACATCACTAATCACCAGAGAAATGCAAATCAAAACTTCAGTGAGATGTCATCTCACCCCAGTTAGTTAAAAAAAAATAACAAATACTGCTGAGGTTGCAGAGAAAAGGAAACTCTTGTACACTGTTGGTGGGAACATAAATTAGTACAGCCCTTATGGAAAACAATATGGAGTTTTCTCAAATGACTAAAAGTAGAGCTACCATATGGTCCAGCAATCCCACTACTGAGTAGTACTAAAGGAAAAGAAATCAGTATATCAAAAGGATACCTGCACCCCCTGTTTTTTGCAACACTATTCACAATAGCCAAGATATGGAATCAACCTAAGTATCCACCAACAGATGAATGGATAAGAAAATGTGATAGGTGAAGGTCGGTGAGTTGGTGCGGAGTTCATCTCGGCACGCGTGATTGGGCCAGGATGGATACCTCTTCGTCTTCCTCCGCGGCAGCTTTGGGCGCTGTGGACCCGCAGTTGCAGCATTTCATCGAGGTGGAGACCCATAAGCAACGCTTCCAGCAGCTGGTGCACCAGATGACCGAACTTTGTTGGGAGAAGTGCATGGACAAGCCTGGGCCAAAGTTGGACAGTCGGGCTGAGGCCTGTTTTGTGAACTGCGTTGAGCGCTTCATTGATACAAGCCAATTCATCTTGAATCGACTGGAACAGACCCAGAAATCCAAGCCAGTATTCTCAGAAAGCCTTTCTGACTGATCTCAGCATTACCTTTTTGGAAAAAGAAGGTAGTTCAAGAAATGAAGAGCTGTTGATGGGATGATTGAAGAAATGGCTATGGGGAAATTGGCTCCCATCTTTTGTCACTCTTGGGACATCATGTTATCTGAGAAAGAACAAAGACCAATTTGTGTGTGGGGGGGGGGCTTGAGGGTTATATGTGTATTTGGTTGTGTTTTTTAATGCTAATCTTGTGAAAATAATTGACAGATGAATGGAAAACTCTATTAGATGTATGTTACTGTGTGTGGGACTATGCTTTTCTCAAAGGCCCATTAACTGCTTCCTGTAATTTTGATAGTGGAACTGCTTTCTATAATTTGATAGTGGGACCACATAGGTAAAATCTGTCATTTGGTTGGATTCATTTCAGATTTCTGGGGAGATCATTCTATCTTTAAGAAAGGATAGCAGTGGGGGAAGGATAATTTGGTATTTAACTGTGGGCCTCCTTATCTAGTGTTTGACTATCAATGTTGGGGAAAAAAGATCTATGGAGTGTTCATACCGTGCACTTCAGCTTTGTAGATTATTTCC